AGATGATTAGCAATTAGAATATTTAAATCAAGGTAATGGTCAATGACGTTTACAATAAATATGCACAGCTCTCCTGATACATTCAAAATTTCCATGCCCCCGCACCCCGGACAAGACAGTACAAACCAGCCCTGGAAGACTTTTTGCATATTTATGTTTTATTTTTGCAAAGATAAGTTTTGAAAAAATAGATGCCAGAGGCGGGCAATTGCGAAGCTCGCAGGAGCGTCTCCAAAAATGCACTGTTGGAACGCCGTGCAAACTTTTAAATTCTCAATTATAATATATATGATTAAAACCAACTTCCAGACTATATTGAATGTATGCTTTCGATAGCTGTGTTATTTTACAGTCTTTTGTAATCACCTTTGTGCCATATGGTCTTAAAGGCATTTACGATCTGCTCATTCTAAATAGAAAATGCTAAACTGTTAACTGTTCAGAAAGCCAATGGTAGTGGGAAAAAGCCCCTCTTGAGTATGAGTGGATTTCAAAGACCTTCCCATCTTCCGACCTGACTTATACAGCGATCCTAGATGGTCTGGGTGATTTTTGCAGTGGCCTTCAGTTGAATTGGCCTGTTTTTACGGTTGTGTTTAGCTTAAAAGTCTCATATTCTTAGTCCTGTTGCTAGAGTGTTCATTTGGAGTTCTTCTATCTACGTGTATGCACCATGTGGCTTGTGTATATGGTAGCTAGTTTTACACATGGTGTTCTTATAACCCCCATACATAGCCTTTATACTATTTAGCATAAAGTGAATGCACAAAATTGATTTTGAAAGGTACTTACTCATGGACATTTGGAATAAAATGTGATAAAATTGTGTAAAATCAGTTTAATTTGCTTTTTAAGTATCCTTATATCCCCCATGTAGAGCCTCAGTGAATATTTTTAATTATTTTCATCATTTTTTAACATTTGTCCATTGATCCCATGCAGCTGTAAAAGTGTCCATGATTTACCCCGTTAAGAGACGTTGTTACCTAATTTATTATGGTCCAAAACCCGAAAACCCCCCATAAAGACCCTTCGTTCACGGCCCGCGGTATATGTGGCCCAATTAAACGACACTTGTTTTTGAATCAGCAGATGTTCCTCTCTCCAGCAACGGTAAAACCGTTTATCAAAATTGCCGCGTCACGGAGAAAAGACTACTTAAAAATGACTAAAATTTAGAAAGATGAAATTTCTGATTTCATTGGTTCTGGTAACCCCCTGGTGTACCCTTTTAATTTCAATGTTGCATCTTCAATTTTTGTTTTGTAAAAGTAGAAGACCCATGCTATGTGACAAAAGAAATCCCATGTTCATATCATTATCAGAATTACCATGGTATCCATTGTAATTTCAGTAATTTTCAGCCATAAATTGTTAGATTTTTGAGGGTCTCAGAGGGGGGTCCCAGAACTCCATAACGAAAAATAGCTGGAGGGTTTTAACTATATGGCTGTTAATAGTTCACCATACCTATCTCACATACAAAGTATGAGCCGATTTGGCCGACCCCCATCTTCCGGCCTCTGCCTGGTTCTGCCTGGTTTTCTCGTGCAATGACTCTTAAATAGCGCTTGAACGGCTTGCGCTAGAACCATCAAAGTTACTGATCAAATCCAATATGGTCGACCATATTATTAGCTGTGGTGTAACCACATTTTTTTTCATAGCAACTCCATATTTTTTCACATAAAACGTTCTTTTAACAATTTGATCCAAGATGGCCGATGACTTAATAATGCATGACATCATTTTATGTTGCCAGGGGCAACACAACTCTTAGCTTTGTAGACCTTACTGTATAAGAACGCCAATGTATCCATTACGCTCGAAAGCCGGCTGGGGTCCGCGCGCATTTTTTTAACGGGGGGAACGGCACTGTGTTGAGGGACAACTTTGTGGGTGACAATTACTTGAAATTTCAGAAAAAAATATTTCGAAACAAAATATCTATTTTAGAATATATATATATAGTGCTGGGGTCCGCGCGGACCCCAAGTGTACTGTTTAGGGTTAATATGAAATTGTTGCTATATACATTTTAGGAAAAAGTCCCAAATGTTTATGGTTTTAGCGCATGCCGTTCAGGCGCTATCAGAGATGAAAGTTGGCGCGGGCCTCAAAACGCCCCCCCCCCCGTCTAAATAGGGTTAAACCAAAATTTTTCAAAGTTTTAAAAACTGCCTGCCCGAAAACCATTGCCATGGCAACAATAAAACTTATTAACTTATCATATAATATGAAATTTTAAAAGTCTAGGGTCTCCAATTCTATTTCCACAACACGCCATGATGTTTGATAGCATAGCAAGCACATTTTGTGTCCTAGCATTTGTTTTTTTTAGGTGTTTTCAGCTCTCCCAAGAAAGTTTCTTCCCGATTACAAGAACCCGTGTTGGTTCGAGGAGGTGAATAAAAAAGACGTTAAACCGAAGGAACGGTGGCAGAAAAGAGTCTTACACAACGGGACAAGGCATTTTCTGTTTAGGTGCGTAGCATGTTCTTTTACAGATTCTTTATTAACACAACAAAAAAGTACAGAGACTTTTGTATGGTCTTCTACGACTTAACTAAAGATCTAACATAGCTAAATACATGTGTGGATAACGTCATCTTACGTACAGAGTATATGTATGATGTAACAATAAAGGTTAACTATTCTCTAACATGTGTTCTCTAAGATCTAAACATTCTTTAATGTATTTTCCTATTTGAACACTGTATTGGTTATCTCCCCTGAGAATGTAGTTGCATTTATCTATAGGATCTAACGTATTGAAATCAATTGAACAAGCGGAAAGAAAGGTGAACAGCAATAGGCGCTTATCATTGTAGAGTGTACAATCCATTATAAAATGGTGCTCATTTTCAATCTTGTTTGGACAAAATGGACAGAACCTTTGGTCATTTAGTATTTTCATTTCTATGTTTAATTTATGACAACTAATTTTTAATTTTGTGATCGCTTTTCGGATATCTAGATTGTGTATACTTGAGAGGTGTAAGTTGTTTTTGTCCATAATTTTCCTTTAATGCGGTATAAACAGAAAGTTTTGCGTTGTTACTAATAGAATTATACCATTTTTGTATGTACATATCTTGAAGGCGGGATCGTAATTGATTGATTATCGTATCCACTTGGTATGACCCGGGGTTTGTCCAGAATTGTCCAAGACCATTGTAATTCAGAATGTCGTTTAGGTGGTTAAGCCAGTCGTGTTTATCAGAATATCGTAAGCTTCACGAAGTAAGGTGTCTTCGGGCAAGTTTACAAAACGATGCCATTTTCCATCATTTTCCATCATTTTCCTACTCATGATTAACGCTTCTGCAGATGTTTGCCATATTTTTACATCATTGGTATGCCAAAGTGTGGAACGACCGATCTTTACCACCGCATCTCTAAACACCCGGAAGTTGTTCATGGCCAGAAAGAACCTCATTGGTGGGCTAAAGCACGAATTCACAATTTAGGTATGGCTTTGACTGACGATATCACGCTTCTAGCAGATCCTTCTAAAATATTGTTGGCAACAATGTTTTATCTGTCGAAAATGATACTAGTAATGGTTTTTGGTGTTGCCATGCCGATGGGTTCCTGACGAACATTTTTTTTGCTAAATTAGGGATTTTCGTTTCAACAATAGAATTTTATGAGTTTTATGTCAAGTAACAATGGTTTCTAATAATAATAGTATCTGATGCAATTTTGTGTAAACTTCATCATTAAATGTAAGGTTTCTAATAATAATAGTATCTAATGTAATTTTATGTAAACTTCATCATTAAATGTATATTTTATGCTAATTTGATGACGTCATTGGTGAAAATCCAAAATAACGGACAACATCATTCAATCAGGTTATTTTTCTTTAAATTCCATCGCTACTCTCATTTCTTTTTACAAAAAAGGTTTATATGAACATATTTAGTCTATTTTTAATGTATTTTAGCCGTTATCATAAAAGAAACTATTACTAAAATTCACTAACATTCTATTATAAACACCTTTTTAAAAGTTATGTTGTATATCAGTGCGTTTTTAAGGAATTACCTATCTATACTGATTTGGCCAATAAAATCACATTAATGATGTCTTAATGACGTCATATCACGTCATAACGACATTAAAAGTGTTGTTATCATTCTTTTTACTAGTACACTATCCTTAAAATTTTGAGGTCCCAAGAAGCGCAAAAACGGTCTAGATAGGGTTAATATTTCTTTATTCATATGTGCTTTTTAGACCAATTTTAGCAGTCCCACAGGTCTGTTAACTTAGTGATTGGAGACTGCATTTATTGATTTATTCTGAGACAAATTATAGTCACCTCTGGACTGATTTTCACATGTGTTAGCAATTCTGAAGTCAACCCAGTAGTCCTGCAAATGCTTGTTGTTCTCTTGATAAGTTAGGGGTGTGTAGTCACAATCTCTCGGATATTGTTTAACACAGGCTATGTTAGAGTTGAAGGAGTAATCATGTTGGTTCTGTGTTGTATAAAATACTAAATGCATGCCATCATGTCTCTTTATTTTTATTGATAACACAATACCTTATCGATTGCTCTCTCTCAGAGCGATATCTGAAGCTTTTCGAAGAAGCGGCCTGGGCCATCAGGAGCCGGAAAACAAAAAGCTTAACATCTGCAGGACAAGAAATCGATTATCACGGCGCCATCACAGGTATCGTAAATTAGAATGTTATTATTAAGCTGAATTGGTCAAGGCGTCATACGCACGCAAATGCTTTCCTGAGATTAAATAAAGATTTTGGCAGTTAGTACATCCATGTCCACTGGTTTAGCAGTCATTTGGTAATGTGAATTGTTCGTGTTGTAAAGGAGACGGCAGCCCCTCCACAATATGGTGCAACGGTTACTGGAGAGATCAACAGTGGGACACGCCTAACAACGAACCACCTATTCTACTGGCCAACCTGCTCCATGCCGTGCAGCCTCACGCCAAGTTTATCCTCACACTTAGAAACCCAACAGACAGGTAATCATTGCGACTAATAGCGCTACCGGGTAATGCTTATCACTCTTAACATCACTTATGACTATTGTATTTATTTGATCCAAATTTCGTCTGTTACATATATATTTAATTTGAGAAGTTGACTTTGAAAATTTGGAAAAACCCGTGAACTTACATTGTTATGGTAAAAATTCATAAATATTTAATATGTCGGCACCCTACACCTCAACGCAGACCACATCTCAGGAGGCTCCTTGCAATGGCGTTAAAATGTCTACGATGTTGCCTCCTATCTGCAGATTATATTCGGAATATCTCTTCTTCTCTGGTGGCTTCCGTTACAACAAGTCCTTGACGGATTTTCACAAGAGGGTCAACCTTGCTATTGGCATCTTTACCAACTGTCTCAGGAACAATTCTGTCCGATCGTGCGCTTACGAACCAAATCTGCCCGCAACAAGGACAGTAGGCACTGAATCTTTTCATCTATGATACATTCCTGTTTACATCTATTAGCAATATAAAATGGATATCGGGTACCTTTAATCGGGTAACTTCCCTTGACCTTCTTATCTTGTCTTATAATAAGTTCTCGTGCACTGCACGAAAACCCAAATATCCGTAGCCTTCTTTTCAGGCGTGCCCGGAACGGTGGGTTTTTTGTTTTGCTTTTTTTTTTTTTGTTGCTATTTTGGACAACCCTGGCTCCCCGTGGAACGCCTGCTTGATTTTGGTACCGACAAACGGTATAAAAGTAATTCCCCCTTTTTCCCGAGAAATGAACTATCTCAGCGCAGAAGGTCATTAAAGCAACAAACCAACCAGGGCGCCGTGGGGCGCCACCGGGCGTGTGTGTATGGCGCGCCGCTTGAAACAACAATGAAGGAAGCATGCTAGAATACGAGTAAGAACGGGGGCATATCCTGCATATCCACAGATGTTCTCATCGAAAAAAAATGGTCGCTACGACCTGAAATATTACGGTAACCTCTTTAGTAGGAGATTTGTTTTTGTTTAGCCGAGGAAAATGCTGAATCGGTTTGGTTACGTGTCAGAGAACCACACGGCGCACTTCAGGATGGATTGAACCTTGAATACACTATGAAACCGCATATAAATGAAAATTCCGACCAAAGATTATTTGAAGTAAGCATTTCGTAACTAGAATCACGCTATGTTGTCGTGGAAAATAGCGTTTTTACGCTTTGATAGAAGTGTAAAGTTGGTCAGACAAAGAAACATTATCCCGAGGTCATCCCGCGCCACCCCCAGCTAGATTTGCGTACTTACTGGAGGAGAACATGGCGCCTGGCCGGCATAATCGCAGTCTAAAAACTCGAAAAAATGCAGCAAGAAACTACACGGAGCCGATATCAACCTACATGTATTAGTACAAAATGTATGTTGATTTGGTACAACCAAGCCCACCCTCCCAAGCCCGTGGGCCAATTTAGCTGTAAGCGTTAAGCATGGACGTGTGAATTGCTTCTCGCGATAATGTTAATAGTTCCTCCCGGATACGTTAATTGGCCTTTGTCGGTACCGAAATCAAGCAGGCGGTCCACGGAGATATATGTAGGGTTGCCAGCCGGAGCTTCTATTGCGTGCGAACTACGTTTGATCAGAAAATACCCCCCCCCCTCCAAAACGACCAATCTGGGAACGCGTGAAAATGAGGCTAGGTATCCGGCCGTTTCTGGGCCTGCACACGTCACACGTCGCAAGTACGGCCAAACAATAAGGAGCACCATACATCGTTTTGCAACTGCTTGAATTGGCAGATATTCAAGGCTTTTCAATGGCCGCATGTAATAAGAGCGGGGAAATGCTGGTTAGAAAACAATATAATTTTCCCTCCTTAAATCTACCTAAAGACAAGAATTCGGTGATCTCATACCTCCATGAAATATGTACTATGTAATGTGTTATTGGTCCATGGGGGATTGATTGTATATGAAAGGTTGTAATTAACAGTTTAATTTATGGTTTTCTAAACTCAAATTGCAATATTTTGCATGATGAATTCCTATCCTTTGACAATATTTTATTTCAACATGTGCTCATAAATTAATGAACCACTCTACATTAACATAATATATGTATAGTGGTATTAACCTTTAAGTTACATACAAATGTCACAAGGTATAAAATTCCATTATTCACCATAAAATTCGCACATTTTTCACACTAATTATGCAAATCAGGTCATTATTTGCATAATTGGTATGTGTTGATGTTTCACCTGCCATAGATTACATACATCAAATGTATTAAAGTGCTATCATGGAAAGCACTGTAATTGCACAATTTCCTACTTAATCATGCAAATGTGGGTTTCATTTGCATAATTTGCATTTAATTATATACATCTCTATATAAGCTACCTACACACAAAAAATGATAAAACTACGTTGTTTCTTTCTTGACCCGCTTTAATTTTTTTTTACCAAAACTAACCTGCAGTTCCAGAACAAGTTGATAGGGGGACAAAACTTACACCACTTATTCGTGACAGAAAATCAGTCAGCAAAATCCAACACCATAGCATGACAAATTTGCCTTTTTAATCGGCTATCCTGTTTGTTTCCAGGTAACCACGTTACCGCTGTTCTTAGGTAACCACGTTTAACATAACATAACATAACGAAACATAGTTGGTATTTGTCGAATGTCAGAATATCTTTTTTTAGGTTAGACTGCGGCTTGGGCTGTACGAGGTCTACCTGCGTGACTGGTTGTCTATCTTTTCTCGGGACCAGATTCTCGTGCAACGTCTTGAGGATTACTCCAAGGATCTTCGCACTACCATGACAGAAGTTTTTAAGTTCTTAGATCTTGGTTAGTAGTTGTTTTATTCTTTTATCTAAATCTTCTGACAAATAAAATGTAACAACTTGCAGTATTCAAATAACCAGTATTACACTAATTTACGTTTGGATTTTCTTCTTACTAATAATAACTTACTGCAATGCCGCACCGTAGGTACTGGTTTGATTTTGCTGCTAAGTTTTGCTACACAGAACAAACCGCTGACAACCACTGAGAACAATCTGTAAAGCCTAGGTCACAATTCAAGAAAGGGGCCCGCTCGGCGCGTGCTCGGCCTGTTTTTTGGCACTACCGAACGGGACCTGGACGGAGACCGTCGGGCTTCCCGGCGGCTGTCGACCTACTTTTGGCCCCGAGCAGTCGCCGAATTGATTTTAACTCAAACTTAACATCACTTCGGATCCCGTTCGGCAATGTACGCCGAAGTGACGCCGTAACCTCACTGCCCGGGACCCGTCGGGCGGCCGAACAGGCACCTGCCTAAGATGATGACGTCACATGTGCTGATAAGTGCATAAGGTGGTAAGGAAAATGGGGTTATATGGGGCATATGTAAACTCCTTGTTCAGACTACGTCGCACAGTTCAACAGGCGTGTGTTACACCGTGCACTTGTGTGTGTTACACCGTATACTTGTGTGTCAGAATGCCGATGAGCAATGGAAAACAGACGAGACGATAGCCCGGCATACATGTATTTCAGGAATGAACAGTGACATTGTGTTGCATGTGGTCTACCCTGAATGGAAACTCCAAGGATCGGTAGCTGTTCCCGGTCGCCAGGAAGCGTAGGGTAGTGGCGAGTGTTAGGCCTGCTGGCAAGGGTTGTCTGGCACTGCTAGAATTAAACAGAAGTCTTACATACAGACTGGACTGTAATATCTAAATTTGCTGTTATTATAAAACATTATGGATACATTGAAATGTGTCAAGAAGTAGAGGGCATTCAGCAAAAAAGCACTTGCTCCGGACGGGTCCCTTACAGAAACCGGCCACCAAGGGGACCAAAAGTTTATGAATATTAATTAGAAGCCGCCGGCCGGGGCACAACCAGGCCCCGACAGGGAGCCGTAAAGGAACATTTAATTGTGACCCTGACAGTCGGCGCACGCTCGGCGTCATGACGCCGGCCGGCGTCTACATCGAAGACATGCCGAACGGGCGCCGTTTCAAATGACGCTGTACACAATAAAGAGTAACAGGGTTTGGGCACCAGAGATGACTTTACTTGTACTCGGAATGTTGATCACAATAGGAAAGTCATCCAACGGCCAGGCCGGCTAGTGGGAGTGTGTGACTGTGCCTGGCTAACTAAATCGTTCCGTCGAGAAGTGAAGCTAACTGTCTAGGAGTAGAACGGCGACTAGTCAACTACCTGTACTTGATATCAACGCCTAAGTCGACAACAGGCGAGTTCGACTACATGCAAGAAGAGAAAAATAAGTATGTCTCGAGTGACATGTTCAACGCCTAAGGTCGGCAACAAACTAAGTTCTGCTACACGAGTAAGTACGAGATGTAATGTGGCATCCTCAATGCCTAGAGTTAGCAACAAACTAAGTTAAACTACAAACATAACTTCAAGACGTCTGATGTGACATTCTCTTCGCTTAAGGTCAACAACGAATGAAGTTCAGCTACATGCGTCTCCTAAGCCTATTGCTCTCCTACCTAAATATATATTAAAAAAAGAACATTGCGAAAAAAAATAAAAATCAAGGCTCAAAAGGCCACTATCCTACAGTATACAACAATAAAGTCCAGCTGGTAGAGAAAGTAAAAAGTTCTGTCCGGTGGTGAGGCGAGTAATTATATAGAGTTCTGTCCTGTTGTTGAAGGATGAGAGTTCTATGCTGCCATCGTGAAGATGAAGGAGCTGCTGGTCGAGAGGCCGGTAACCACGCCAACTCCTTCGGCAGAACTTGGCAGAATGGCGCCTGACGTCAGAGCCATGTCACTACGCGCAATTCTTTGTGATGAGGGCATTGACCTCATCACCCCATAATGACGCTGTACACAATGAAGAGTGGCAGGGTTTGGGCACCAGAGATGACTTTACTTGTATTTGGAATGTTGATTACAGTAGGAAAGCCATCCAACGGCCAGTCCGACCAGCAGGAGGGTGCCAAAACTGAAGATGGGTGATGTTGTAGGCGGTTAGGAGGAGTTTGGAGAGGTTTGTTGACGGACGAGGGACCGCAGAGCAGCTGGAAGGCGCAGACGTTGTTCGCCTGAGACCCGGAGATAGCATAAGTCCGCATCGGACCTCCAGTCGCCGTGTCGTTGGCGAAGCTCCCGCGGCACTCCGGCTTCAAAGGCCAGTGTGTAACCTCCCCGACGGAGGTCGTGCGGAGTGTGGTGCCGTGAGGGTAGACCTTGCTTTAGCACGATGTTATTGAACTCTTTGTCCAGGGTCGAGGCAGTGAGAGGTCGTAGAGGACGTCGCGTGGTAGGGGGTAGGATGAAAGCTAGTGCGTGAGCCGGGGCTGGGTTGAGGTGAAGCATGTTCAGGTAGGCGCGAACGGGGCAGAGAGGTGATCCCGGGATGGCGAGGACGGGGACGTCCAGCTCCCGCTCGTTGGCATGTATTGTCTTGGACCAGGAGGCTCGAATAACTAACACTTCGGGCACTAGGGGAGAGAACGTCCCGTCGACAGAGGTGCCTGTTGGGGTCAAAGCTCTTGGCTGTGGGTGGGACTAGATTGATTTTGTGGAGAAAACCAAAGAACCCCAGGAGGATGACCGCCCAAACTGTCGCGTCTCTGGGCGAGACAAGTCTAGCTGGGTGTGTGCTCGGAGCAGGAAGGAGATCGTGACTGGATGAAGTTCTTTGGGGCGGTGGCGTAGAGTCTTTTTGATCCCTGTCAGGGTGAGCTGCACCACGGGATGGTGGAGGTCGAGGTCGTAGTGGCCGTTATTCTGGTGTAGGAGCTTAACTGAGGAGAGGTAGTGACTGACCGTGGCTGGAGACTTCAGTGACTTGCTCAGGAACTGTGCGTAGCACGACAGGAGGTGTGGCGTTGCGGGGAAGGGCTGCTTCTTGAAGAAGGCACAGAAACCCAGATACGACTGGAACTGAGTCTTGTGGTTCGCCTGTGTGCTGAGGGCGAATGCACGCTGCAGGGTGGGTTTGGTGTCCTCCTCCAGTGCCAGCCACGCTGTACCTGAGAGAAAGGGGGGGGGGAGCTGGGTCAGTTCGAGGGGATACGTGGGGAGGACGACTAACCATTACCAATCGTGGGAGAACCTGAACAGTTCAGTGGGTACAGGGATAGCGGTCCAGAGGCGCAGGTCCAGCCGCTGACGCAGCTTGTCCCGATACGAAGGGTGAAGATGCAGTCTACTGAGGAGATCAGGTATGGTGTTGTCATTGCCCGGGATGTGTTGAGGTAAAAGTCCAACTTAGCCTGCAGGAAGATCAGTTCCCGACCGCAAGCCACAGGATTCTGTGGGTCTGTTCGCTTTCTTTACCCACGTCTCGCAGGTCTCGCGAGAACTCATGCGTGAGGCGGCGAGATGATCTGTCGGGGGGAGGGGGTGTTCGATCTTCGAACCTCCGGCGGCGCCCTGGTCTCCTTGTAAGAAAGCTAGGTCAAGTTTTAGCTCTTCAATTTCTCTTGTGACGTTTGCCACCTCCTCCAAGAACTGGTCGCGGGGGCTCCTCGCCGGGGTCGATCGGTGTTGCGGAAGATCCAGGTTGTACTCCGCGTCGTCGAGGCCATACTCATCCCTGTAGCGGACCGGTGGCCGCGTCTTGCGTTTCGGCCGCACTACTGGCTCTGACATGTTTGGGGGCGACTAGCTAAGCCCGGAAAAAGAAAACTGTTCGAAGGCCGACGAGGAAGTGGTGCAGAGGCGCCCTGCAAATAAGCAGCTAGGACTGGGTAGCGACTTGGCAGAACTTGGCAGAATGGCGCCTGACGTCAGAGCCATGTCACTACGCGCAATTCTCTGTGATGAGGCCCATGACCTCATAACCCCATAATGTGACCTACGCATAAGGCAGATTTTGGTATCATTGCAACTAAATCTTGTACAACACCTGCACGACTTTTCCAAAAATGCCTTCTGTTTGAATTCGTAAAAGATTGTATGACGAATTTGACTAAGCCCTTAAAACTATACCCCTAATAGATATTTTCTTAACGTATTTTACAGGCCCTGTTAAGGAAAAAGCTGAACAAGACGCTATATTCACCTCCAATACGCAGCGTTCGCAGACGAAGAGTTATGACAAAATAGGCCAGATGTTGCCAAAGACGCGGAAGGTCTTAAACAAGTTTTACAAACCATATAACCAGCGACTTGCTGCACTTTTGAACAATACTGACTTTCTCTGGCAATAGCATAGTTCTATATTCCTGACATGAAATGAGTCTCCAGCGTAAAAATGTAAAATTGCCTTGCTACAGCATATTTGTGTTGGCTAGTGTCTCGTCCCATTTGCCATTTTGCGAAAATATTAAGTATAGATATTATGTTTTGGGGGACGGTTACTCAACTTACTGGTATACGTTTGTAAAGATCTACATGTAGCATAGTGTGCATGTACGAACCATCTCTCTAGCTCTATGTTGTCTCTGTAAACTCCATTTTCTGGGTAAAGAAATCTTTGTGAAATCTTGTTAATATTACTTCAAAAAGCAAGGAACAAACCACCTCTCTGACGTCACTGCTGTCGTTGGAAAGAATAGAAACTTCTTTATATTCTCGTTTATTGTAGTGCGTTCTGTGACCATAGTTCAACAGATCAGATGTTGCTCATTCCGCGTTGAGAAATATTGATAGGGGGTGGGGGGGCTGGACAGACCTTCAACATTTACTTTTCTTGAAGGAAGGAGGTGAGTGATGTCACACAAAGACACACATCGTATGATACCATTAGAAAACGAGAATTCTACAACTCTAGATACATTCAGCATGCAAATAATGCCCTAATTTACATAATGCCGCTATGTGTAATGATCTATCTAGATCTATATACCTTGAATGTTTCTCCCTCACTCTATCTCTTTACATATATATATATCCAGTTTATTGTCTTGCATGTTATTAGGAAATCCATCCATTTCTTTCATAATAGATACCGGTAGAACTTTATTGCACGACAATTTGTACTACGAGCTAGGTGTGGCTGGTGTAGAGTTATGAATGTGTCCCAAAACATAGAATATAGATATAACATTAATCCTCCATGTTGCACCATTCTTACCAAGCTAAATCAGTAATGATACAAGGCTAAACAATGTCACTGAATATACGCTGGAAAATATAACTTGTATGGGAAAAAGCTGTTGCGATTCGTATATCCGAACTGAATCCGAAAGTTATGTTTTTCCATGACCTATGATCATGTGGGTGAAAATTTTGCAAACATTGATGTGATTGTACATTATGTAACTGTAACCTTCATTTACTTCACCCCTACCCCTTGTAGTCTCTGTATATATATATTATGGAGTAAGGGAAATATAATGTAGACAAATTTATCAGCATGATCTTTCTAGATGCCGGCACATACCACTACTGTCAAAATCAGGGATGAATAAACAAAACAATACCCAATGCTGCATCCACAACCTCAGCAATTTGTCAAGTCAAGTCAAGTGAAAACAATCTTCAATAGATTTAAATTTTCTGTTTAATTTTAAGCTGGTGATTCAGTTTTGCAGCATATTTATACTGTCACAAGCCTCTTGTGTCTGAAATGTTGATCTAATTATGTACTAGTAGCAGCTGCTATTTTATGCCATTATCACTCTAGACATGCCTATTATACAAACAACCAGTGATCTGTACTCTGATATATGTGTGTGTTTCTCTGTGTGTGCATATGTGTCTGTACTAGTGTGTGTACTAGTGTGCAGAAAGAGTTCTTTGGTGAACAAGCTTGGTGGCCATAATGATATATTATACTTATATCAATTACACAATGTTTGAACAGTGTTAACTTTAACTGAAAGCCTTGTACATTGTAAGTCGATTCATCATATTTAATCCTATGTAGCTTTATCGGATTTTAACTTAAGCATAATTCTCACCAGCAGAATGATTAGGTCCCCAACCAGAGAAATTTTGCTTACGTGCTTCTTATTAGTCGCTCTTTGTTTCTTGGCCATATGAACACATTAAACCAGATTAAGAGTGAAATCAATGAAATTGACCTACTCCTATGAAGGCATAAAGCATAAAAATACTGTGCTGTGTATCTTTTTCTTTACTATGAGTAGGACATGACCCTAATGTGGTGCCTTACCTGGTCCCCCGGATTAAAGAGCCATACAAATAATATTTGTATATGGTGTCTTACCTGGTCCCCAGATCAAAGGGCCAAAGAAGTATTACATGTATGTGCCATATCTGGTCCCCAGATTAAAGGGCCACACGGATTGGGTAGGGGGCAGAAAGAAGGAGGCAAATAATTGATTTTGACCTGCTAAAATGGTCTAAAGGAACGTCTACTTCCAGGAGACTAGTAGTACATCTTTTGGTGCCTGTACTTGGCAACCTTACAATCCAGAAACCATGCATGTCACTAGCCAGTCAATTTCTCAAGTTACGTTGCAAGGACGTATCTAACATCACATGTTATAATGTCGTTAGCCTGTTTGTTATTACTCTATCCCCTTTTAACCCTACCTAGACCGGGCTTTTTTGACATGGGGGGACCGGGGGGGGGGGGGG